AAAAATGTGTGGAAATCAAATGAAAATAATTAATTATAAATAAAAATAAAAAATGGACTTTATGTACATAAGAAATTGCAAAATAATTTTGAAATAATTTTAAAAAAATCTTTGAAGTGGCCTTTTCTTGTTGTAAATAAAAGAATATTTAAAATTTTTACTTTATCAGAAGAATAGAAGACAAAAAATTTGTAATTATAATTGTGATTTTTGTCAGGGCACATACGGACATTATTAATTTTATTATTTTTTATTTAATTTTTCGAATTTTAATGAAATATTACTTAACAATATTCCTTTAATTATATACATTATTATTATTTTAAGAGTTCTTTACCCATTTCCATGTTTTAATTCTTATAAGTAGAACCTGAACTCCAAAACTAAAGCATATATACTTTTGATTGAGATCACTTCAATTTTAATATTTTCAATTTATTCTTAATTTGCTATTAAGAATTATTAGAAACAGTGAAACTTAGGCAACTGATTTAATTTCGGTTAACAATAATACAACCCACAAAAATAACAAACTTAATTTATATTTCTGATACATGTAGTTAAATGATATGATTTTGATTGGATTTTAAGCATCATTGTAATACAGACGGAAAACAAGCTGAAGAACAAAATGTTGTGACATTTTTGTTCTTGAGGTTCGGAATGATAAATTGTCAAATTTTTCGTTACCTTACATAGACACTATAATTAATTGTACACATTTTATTAAATGAGCACCTTGATCTGATACATTTACTTTTGACAAAAAACAAAAACTTAAGGATTTCATTTGTTTTCAATTGTTTTTAATACCCAATATTCCGTAGCAAACATTTAAAGTTTTGAAACTTAAACATTTTCTCTTTGTTTTAACACGTTCCCTGTCCGCTGAGCCACATATGGTTCAGGAAACGTGCGCTTGATAAGCACTGATACGTTCCTGAGCCATATGTGCGTCAGGGGGTATATGAAATTTCTAAAGCAAATTATTTAACTGGACGTAACGGAACAGTTTCTGCACTGGACGTGCTATCATGACTACAAAAAAACAAATTATTCAAAAAACCCTGTTGGACTTGCCGGTCAATTTTGCATTTTTGTATTGGGACAGGGAACGTGTTAAGCATTAAATAATTCAAGCTATGCAAGAAATTTTTACATGATATAAGCAAAATTTGTATATATGTACATATGAACGTAATCTGTATACTAATTTTATTAAAAAATCTATTAGTAAATTAGGTAATTTGACAAAATTTTTACTACAAAACCCGGATAAATTACTAATTTTTTATATAACGAGGTAAAATAGTTTTATACTTTATTTTATAGCTCTTTTTAGCACTTTTCCAAAAAATTTTTTGAAAAAAGTGCTTATTAGTTTCACTCTGTCCGTCCGTCCGTCCGTCCGTCCGTCCGTCCGTCCGTCTGTCCGTGTGTCTGTTTACAAAACTTCTACACCTTTGAAGATAGAAAGCTGAAATTTAATACGTACATAGATCTTCACTAGAAACTTATTTCCGTAGAACAAAATTTTTACCTATCTCCCCCCCTCTAGAAGTTATACCTCCCCAAAACCCTAAAAATGGCCTTTTTTAAATATTTGTTGCAGTGAAGCCATAAGCATTTTTGAAATTTTGCAAACGCAGAAAGGCAGTGGCTTGCTTCCCCTTGCGCGGTATACTATAGTTCAACTTAAGAAAAACAAAATGGCCGTTCAAATTTACCGTTATTTAAAGTTCTTTTTTTCCAAATTTTTGATGTCGTTTTTCTTCTAGACCCCAGACTGTAGAAGCTTGAAATTTTAGGAGCTTTCAGATACTAATAAATAGTTCATTTTGTTAGAAGAAAATTTTTTTCCATCTCCACCCCCTCTCAAGTTATCACCTCTTGAAATTCGTAAAATTTGAATTTTTGACACCTTATATTTCCGAAACCGCAATCTTTTCCAAATTTTTATAAACGCAAAGAGCTAACGGTAAATTTCATGAAATTAAAAAATATAATTATTTTTCTTAACTCACACAATTAACCCTTAGAATCGAGCATTATGTTAACCCCTTTTTATATTAATTTTTGCTTTATTTCAAAGACTGCATATATGCGTCATCCTAAATATATGCAATCTTAGAAATAGTTTTGTATATGAATGAAAATAATTATAATAGTGTGATAGCTATACATAGACTGTATTTAAAAGCAGAATTTTCACTTGTTGAAGAGAAAAGTACTACAATACAAACCATTGGTTTGACCCAACTTTATTATAAATAAAAATTCAAACGCTATTTTAATTTATTTAAGAAAAACAAATAAAAGCAAAACATTTTGTGTGATTCGCGACATTTTTTTAATAGCTATCAAACAAACATACACATTATGTACATGTATATATACATACACACCACATTCTCTAAGTAAGGCATTTATTGAAAAATTTATTTGAATATCTAAATTCAATGAAATTTTAATTGAATTTCTAAAATAATTGAAATAACATTGTTGCTCATTCGTAACGCGATATATTTTGAAAGTTTGTGATCTGGATAATGGGCGACGTGTTGAAAATTCTTTCATTAAAACTCAGTTTGAATTCTGCAACAATTTTTGATATGTCTCTGTAATAATCTTGAATATGTTTCTATAACAGTCTCGCTTTATATAATTTTGTACAATTCAGACCTTAAAATTTTTGAGATTACTCACATTTATTCGGATTATGAATTAAAGTCACCACGAATTATTGTTAAATTCAACATGGATTTGTGTGCCAAAATCAGTTTTCCTATGCACAGCAGTTTTTACACTAACTTTTCAAAAAAATAAAATTGACCGATTAAAAGTTTTTGTACAAACTTTGAATGAAATTCCTAACTTTAAATAACATGAATATTTTTTACATTAATAGTTTTAATAGAATGGTAACTTAAGCAAAATCTCATTGAATTTAAAATTTGATTGGAATTAAAGTGTTTTTAAAAGTTTTACAGTAACGTCGTTGCATTTTTTCTACAAGTATCTACCTACTCTCGAAAAATCTCACTTTTTTCACTTTTATATCAAGTTATACATAAGATAATTAAAGTATTCTTATAGCTGTCCCATAATTAAAATAAATTTCATTAAGTTTTTTTTTTCATTTCAATATTTCATAGGAAAGAGCTTAAAAAAATAGTATAACTTAATAGGCATGTTGAAATAATACTTGGAAAAGTGTTTCTGATGAAAATTAATGTTAGACTAGAAAAGGATCTCTTTTTTTATCTATTATTATTTCTTTGAGTACTTAAAATGTCTTTACAGGAAAAGAAGAACAAAGAAATATTCAAAATTTTCATAATATAATTGATAAATATCCTTGAAAAAAGAATAATTTTGAATTTAATGAAATTTGCATTTAAAATAAGCCTTTTATCCTTTTCTTTTTCATTATGAAATTTAACACCATCATTTATTTCTTTTTGCAAATTTTTTCGTTAATATAAATAATATATTGCTTATAATATTAAAATATATAGATTTTAGAATAATAATTATTATAAAAGTCCTTTTTATTTATGGTTGTTGAAGATAAAAGTATATGCATACGCAGGTATTGAGCAATAAATTATTTTATATGCATAGAGGCGCGATATGATACAAAGGAAAAGTACTTTTACATTTAATTAAATTTAATTAAGTCTTAACGACTCTTAAAATTATCATACTTCTTCTAATAAAGTTACGGAAGACAATGGCAAAGTGTTTCTTTACATTTATTTCACTTTAATTTCAAATTTAAGAAAAATTCAAATCTAGATAAAAATTAAGTTGACCATTTATATAAAAAAATCTCCATTATTATATTTTTAAATTCAATACAACATGTTTAACAGACCTTAAACTACGAGTAACCCAAACTTAAACTACATGTATAACAGATTTTAAGATGCTGGTACAACAGAACTTAAACTAAATGTATAACAGACCTTAAACTGCATGTATAACAGACATTAAGCTACATGTATAACAGAACTTAAACTACATGTATAACAGATCTTGAACTAGATGTATAACAGACATTAAGCTACATGTATGACAACTTTAACCTATATGTATAGCAACTTTAAACTACATGTGTAACAGATTTAAAGTTGCTGGTATAACAGAACTTAAACTTAATGTATAACAGACCTTAAACTACATATATATTTATAGCTTAATGTCTGTTAAGCTACATGTATAACAGAACTTAAACTACACGTATATGCTTAAATCTACGTCATGATAATAAGTTTTTGAATTTAAATTTTATAAATTTTTAGTAAAAATTTCAAGTTTACTACATTTTATAGTAAAAAATTAATTTTATTTACTTTAATACCTTAAAATTTATTGCTTGTTACCAAATTCAAAATATTGACTCTGATTTTAGAAAATAATTTTTTATTTACTGAAGTGCTTAGTAAAAAGTGAAAAGGTTCCGGTAGATGATTTTTGGATTTTCCCTTACATAGGGTTTATTGAAAGTTAATTTGAAGGGTTGTCGATGTGTTTTTGTTGGCCTAGTGTATCTTCTTCGCGCCGGTAGAGGAGCGGATTCCGCCAGTCTTACTAAGAACTAAGAATTAAAAAGAAGATAGTGAAATAAGAAGCTATTTCATACAATTCTCTAATTCAATTTCACTTTTAGTCAATTAAGACTACATTATTCAGAATTTTCAAGTAAATCAAAGAAATAAAACATTATTGTATATAAAAGTAACAAAATTTATCAGCCTCCTAATTGGTTTCTTAAAGAACTTATAATTACAGTAATTGTGACAATTGAAGAATTTAACCGCTTTTAATCAAATTAAAAATAAGCTTGCCGATTTTTTGTAAAAAACTTTTATATATTTTTTTTGATAGAAAAAAAATTATGTATCAAAAAATATTATCATACTGTACAATTTAGTTAATAACAAATTTTCAATTTTATTAAAATATATTGTGGAAAACTTCAAATAAAAAAAATATTTTCATTCATCTTGTACATCAATTTCTTGTATCCATTTGCAATTTATTATTTCATTTAAATTTGAACGAATTTGTGGATTTGGTTCTAACAGAACACTAATTACATTCTTTGCTGATGATGTAATACAATTTTCTAATTTTGCTCTATATTTATAATTTTTATTCTTTTGATCTTCCCATAATTTATTTAAATTACTATCATCAAATGGCATTTTAGCATTTAACATTACAAATAAAATTATACCGAGTGACCAAATATCAGCAATTTTTGGATCATATGGTATACCACGAACTACTTCTGGTGCTGCATAAGCTGCTGAACCACAATATGTTTTTGAAAAATTCTTTTCACCAAATTTTTCTGTATTACAATATTTAGCAAAACCAAAATCAGCTATTTTAATATTCATACGTTTTGTTAATAAAATATTTTCACATTTTAAATCACGATGAGCGATCTCATGTGAATGTAAATATTTTAATCCACTACACATTTGTGAAAACCATAATTTACTTTGTAATTCCATAATAGGTCCATTTTTTTTTATATAATCTAAAAGGTCACCGTTTTCAGCATAACGCATAAATATAAAAATTTTTGGTCCTCTTTGTAAAATACTATGAATTTGTATTATATATGGATGATTTAATTTGCTTATAATATGAAGTTCACGAGGAAAAAATTTCTCTAGAAAATCTTTTGGTGCTTTATTTTTATCAATAATTTTACAAGCTAGATTTGTCACTCTCATATTATGATCTTCAAATTGTGCTGTTGTTACCGAACCATAACTTCCTTTACCAATTTTTTTTCCTATTATATATCCACGTGATGTCAGTGCTTCTAAATCAGAATTTTTCGATAGAACTTGATTAGAATTTGCTGTTGTTGTGTTGGTAGTGGTAGTACTGCTTTTATATTCTTTTTCTTGATTATTAAAGTATTGTTTTTGTTGATTTCTTTGTATTCTCTCATATTTCTCATTTTCTTTTATGATTTCCTTGTTTTGATTATAAAATTTTGACATTGCTTTAGCACTTAAGCCGCTATAAAATAATCAAGTTATAATAAATCCAAAATAATTGAATTTGAAGTGATGAATATTGGATTTTTTTACTAAATTTAACAAATATTTTGACCTGTTACGAGTAATAATTTTTACCTTCATGGAATACTCCGTATGTAGTATGCTCGATAATTAATAATGAATTCACTACTTTGAACTCCTGATTTGTCAATTAACTGCTCAGTCTCAAATTTTCAAAAAAATTCGGTGTACTTATTGAACTTAGTTATTTTCTAAAAATATTAATTAAATTAAATTTCCCCCAAAGATATGAGATAAAAAAAATTAATAATTTTGAACTTACATTTAAAAATTATGATTGAAAAAAAAATATTCTTGATGAAAACGTTCCACAATAGCTCTTTCAAAAGAATTCTTTTAATTTAACAAGTTTCAATAAACACAAGCATAAATGCCAAATTTCAATTTCTTTTACTTATAATTTTTTTAATAATTTTAATGGGAGGAGAAACACTAATAAAAACTTTTAAATATCTAGCGGTAAATAACATTTGACATTTTAAATTTTTCGATTTGACATTTTTTTCAATGAATTTTTTAATAAAAACTCTTGATATTAATTTGAAGGAATTCTATAACGATATTTTACAAAAAACTACGGGTAATTTTGGAATAATTTTGTCATTTTAATAACAGTGATTACTCATTGCAAACCACATCCAAGAAGATAATTTCTAGTTTTAAAACTGATTTAATTTTAATTTACTGTTCAGGTTTGGAATATTGTAAATTTTATAGATGTAGTATTGACTGCAGTTTAATATTTAATTGACTCTTGAGATTTAAATTGATTTTTGAAATTTTTCTCATATTGTTAATTTCTCTAAAATTTCATTAGGTACTAAGTTTTTTGTTTTCCAAAATAATCTAAATTTTTAAAAATCTTTTACAATTGAATATATGGGACAAATGTTTTTTTTAAAATTCACTATCATAGTTTTATTATGGATAAAATTAGCTTTTAAATTAAGTTATTTTTTGAAAAAAAAATTCATTAAAAATTAGTTTACTACTATTAATTTTTTTCTCTGTGTACAATTTTAGGTTCACAATTAATTTATTCTATAACGGTATCACCGGATTCAAATATTAAGAATGCCACAAATTCTAAAATAATACGAACACATGATAATATAGATAAGACTATAAAGTTAAATAGTGATAAGACTGCAAATTTAACCAAGTCAATTAATTTAGCTGATCGTAACAGAAGATTAATACCATATATGACATTTTATATTCCAACTGATGATGAAAATTATGATGCCATTAATCAACAACAACAATATGATAGTCCACAACAAGTAAACATAATTAAAATTTGTTTGAAATTTTAAGAAATTAAAAATTTTCTTTTAAAAATAAATTCGATTTTTTTTTTTTTACTTTCAAAAAGCAATCAAATCATCATTTACAACAAAGTCATCAATTAAATCACGATTTATATCAACAGTCAGAAACACAAGAACAAGGAAAAAGAATTAATGAAAATGATAACATTAATTCTGAAGGGTTTATACAAAATCAACAACAACATCAACCTACATATTTAACAAATGAACATCAACCAAATGATCCACTATATGTACATCAAATGCGTATATCAAATAGACCACATTTAATTCATGGTTTTCAACCATCACCGTCAAATTTATATGATAATGTTCGACAACAGGTACCATTAAATTTATTAAAAAAAGGTGTTGTCAATCAATCACAACTTCAACATCATCATCAGTTATTGCATCAAAATCAACAACAACAGCAACAATTAAAACATGAACAACAAGAATCAAATGTTGAGAGTCATCTACCGCAAAGGGAAAATTTACCTAAGGTTAGTATTATGGGGAACTTATGGGAAACATTTTCATTTTGAAGAAAAATGCTTAAATTAAAATCGTTAGATTTTCATATTATTTAAATTATAAATACATAGATATAAATTTAATATTTGAATTTATTATATCTTAGTATTTACAAGTATTTACAAATTTTAAATTTTATTAAAATATCCAATCTAACTTTATTTTTATACTGGAATCTATTAGTACAATCTTTATCATTCGCATCATATAAATCATCAGATTCTTCGACAACAGCAACAACAACACCAACATTCAAAATTAGCAGCACCAACATTAACAAATCCAATTTTATTAAAACAAGAGCAACCGCAATCAAATCCAGACAAATTACATTCATCTCCATTTACGCCTTTTAATAAAATTCCAGGACAATTTACACCTATTTTATATATAAATGAACCTGATGCGAAAAATGTAAATTATCATAATAAACTTTTGATACCTATATCATCGCCATCACCACAACCATCTATTATAGCAACTACCGCAGCTACAATAGTTTCAAGCAATGAAAGTGATGATAATGAAAACAAAAGTGATAATAGAAATAATAATAATGATGTCCCAGTCAAACAACTTTTGAATAGTAACCAAAATGATGAGAACCCAGAACAAAATATTCAGTTTTATAACTTGAAAACAATAAAGCCACAACAGCAACAACAACAAAGGTATAATTATCAACAACAAGAATTACAAAATTCACAACATCAAGAACAGCAACATCAACATCAAATTTATAAATATCCTGTAGAACATGTTCAAAATTCTGATGAAGTTATTGAACAACAGAGATTATCACCTTATCATTATCATAATCCAAATCATCAAAATAATAATCAAAAGCATCAAACTCATAATTATAATCAACAGTACAATCATTACAATCGAATTAATGTTAATAATAATTATGATTCAAATATTTATAGCAAACAACAACAAAATACAAATGAAGAAACAGATAATAGACATATCATTGCATTAGTTCCACTACAAAAGCAGCATAATTTAAATCATCAACAACATGAGGAACGACTTCAACAAAATCATCAAAATACGCATCAACAAATTCAACACGAACAAGAACAACATCTCAACCAACAACAACATTTAAAATATGATCCAAATGATATTAAAAACGTTCAAAATATAGTTTCAACAACACAAAGGTAATACGATTTGAGCAATAAAATAAGAGTGTTGTCATGGTTATTGTTATTTTTAGGCCAACTTATAAACTTGTTACTGAAATTGCACAAAAATACAAGTTAAAACATCCTCAAGCTACACAACAACCGTTACCAACTAGCGTGCCAGAATCCGAAATGACGCCACAAGAACGTTATGTTGCTTATTTGCAACAACAATTGCGACTTAAACATCAGAACCGTTACAAAGAGCATCAACAACCGAAAGCACAATCACTGTATAAAAATTCTGGATCACATCCTAATGTTCAACAAATTGATCCATATTTAATTAGTGTTATTCCATCTCCAAATCCCCCAGAAAATTATTTATATCCAACTGAAAAGCAAAAGCAACAACATCAGTACCCAAATTACATTTACCCACCAAAAGTTGAAATTGAAAATAATGATAATTCTAAAAAAATTATTTATATGAGACCACAGCAAGTACAACATGGTTCTCGATATTCAACCCAAGCACCACATCCAGGGTAACGGAAACTCATTTTCAAAAACTATTGAATTCAATCCTCTTTTTAAATTTATTTCAGTAACTATTTACAATTACTCGACGTTGAAACAACACAATATCAACCTGATGGACGTCAACCACAAGGAAGCTATAAATTAATTCCAATAGCACCACAATTACAGCCGTCATCGACACCTCAAACTATTTTCATTCCTTTGAAACATGAAGTACCACAGCATCAGCTTCAACCAGTTCCGCCTGTACAAAAGGATGCTAAATTGAAACAATTCTTTTTTGTAACAACAGCTAAACCAATTCTCATTACTTCTGTAGGTTCAATTTACAAATATGAACCAACAAAACATTCACAACCTATTAATGCAAAACAAAATCATCAAACCACAACACCTATTTTACCTCCCTCCTTAAAAATCCCATTAATACCATCAACAAATCCACCATCATCAGATCATTCTAACATATCGCTTCAGCCAGTTGCGCAAAAGAACAGTTACAATGTTCAGACCGCACAACATCATTCTCATAAATCATCGACATATTTAGTTAAGCCAACATATCTAACAAAACCAGAAGTTGGCGAACAATCACAACATAATGTAGAAAAAAATCATTTTATCGAATCTAATAAAGTGCCATTAAAATCACATTCAACATCATATAAGTCATATTCTCAAATAAGTAATAATCAAGATTCTAGTAATAATAAAAATAATAATAAATCAAATCATCAAAATTTAAATCACAAAAGTCCTCATCGAGAATATCATGCACCTCAAATAAATACAATTTCAAAATTAAAATCATTACAGAAAAATCCAAATTATAATTACGAAACTGTTAAAACATCACAATCAATAGAATCGACCACGGCACCAGCTTCACCTATATACCCTTCAACAGAAACTAGCATTAGTGGTAAGAATTACAATACAGCTATTTGATTCAATTAAGAAAATAAAATGTTAAACGAACAACTGATTACTTAACATCAACAATAATTTCTAGGTCAAAAATTCCCGAATATTAAAGAAACAGCATCCTTAGCAGAAATTTTGAGAAAATTACAAGAAACGAATCATTTACCTCATACAATAACCCCTGACAACATAGACAATTCAATAAAGACCTTAATTAAAATATTAAATAACTTAAAACAGTCCCAAACAATTATTGAAAATCCACCCCAACATCATGAACATGATTATAATGATTACGATGACACTGGAATCGAAAATATTGATCCAAGTATAATATGATAATTTTGTAAACTTTAAGAAATTAATTGAAATTATTTTGTTAAAATTTTTATTTAAAATTTCATTTTTAAAATTTTATTAAGGCAAACCAGGACCAAATTCAGGCAGACCTGGGGTAGATTATCCAAATTTAGCTGAAATTCCACCAACAAGTTTTAACTGTAAAGAACAACGTTATAAAGGTTTCTTTGGGGATCCAGAGACAAATTGTCAAGTGTGGCATTACTGTGATTTAAATGGTGGTCAAGCGTCCTTTTTGTGTCCGAATGGAACAATTTTCAGTCAGGTAAATTTTAGAACGTATTTTCTTCTATTATTATCGTACAGAATTTTGAAATGCTGTTAAACATATTTTATTACGATATATTTTGTTTTTAATCAACAGGTTGCACTAACATGCGACTGGTGGTTTAACGTAAAATGCTCTACAACGCCACAACTTTATGTACTAAATGAAAGACTTTACAAATATATTCTTCCGTTCACACCGAAATTCCCAGAGGATTATAGCGGACCACTTGTTGATAAGTAAGTGTTAAATTTATTTCTTTTTGTTTTTTGTATAAGGGAAAAATAAATAAAATTCTTGATATGTGAAATTTTCATTTCATATATCACGGTTTAACTATAATATTTTTAAAGATTTTATAAACCAAATTATCATTTCAGATATTTGGCACTAAAGTTCAAAGAAATGGAAGAAAAAATGAACAGAGAAAGAGAAAATGAAAGTAAGGAAGAAGAAAATGCAGAATTAAATAAACCGGAAATAAATGAAGAAATTACTCAAGATAGTACAGCAACCGAGAAACATCCAAAATCGGCAAGCGTCGACCCGAATGAAGAACCTATTATAGAACAAAATAATTCAAATTTAAAACAACAATTTTTAGACATAAATAATAATGGGGAAGAAGTAAAATCTGTTAATTTAGTTGATGTAGAAGAAAATCGAGGTGCTGTAGATACTGGTATAACTTATAATACATATAGTACATCAACAACAACAGAATATCCTTTGCCATCATCTTCGTTAACATCACCACCACCGTTAACTGTTAAACCAATTTATGTACCCTCTACTACACCAGCAGTTTACTCATCAACTTATAGTGATTTGCCATCATCAAATGTTATATCATCAACACCGATATCAGCTATAACTGCTAGTAATAGTAACATTGATTTAAGAAATTTAAAACTGAAACATCAAAATCGTTTAAGATTACGACAACGTTTAAAATCAAATAGAAATCGTCAAAATATTAATAGAAAACCAAAAGTTGATGTAGAAAGTGAAAAAGTTGAAGTAATAGAAATTAAAACTGATGGTAGCTCTGGTCATATTATTCCAAATTTACAAGAACAACAAAATAATCAAGAGCAAGAACAACAACATGAACAACAGCAACATAAATTGCAGCCACAAATAGAATACTTATATCATGACTAATTCATAAATAATCTCTATTTATGTTTCTAAAATAATTCTAAATAGCAATGTATATATAATAATTTATTATGATTTACTATTTTAAATTTTGATGTAATTTTTTTACATCTAATCGGTGTGTTTGACCACATAACATGCGTTCATATTTCTAATTTGGAACTTAAATAACTTTAACAGTAAAAATACAGAAAATTTCAAATTTCATATTTATAAAAAATGAAGTGTATGCAGTAGTAAAACTTTAAAACTGCTTCTATTTCTTAACACTATCAATTTCTAGCAGTAATTTTAAACGGATTAGCCATTCGTGCTGTAATTAACTATTAAGAGGACTACAATCTCAACACTAAATTGAATTAACAAAAGCCCCTAATTTTTTTCTCTTTTCCTGTAAATAGAAAATTTTTAATCGAAAAAATTAAGGAAGCACATAAGTATACATGCACTGATTTAAAATACAACAAATTCCAAATTTCATAAGAAAATCACAACTATTTCTTTAGCATCTTGCTTCTTAAATTAATTAATATTTAAAGTTGTTCTATCTAAATTAACTTATTTGAAATTTTATTTTCTTGTGAATATTAGAGCAAGATTCTTTAATAGACAAATCTTTTTTATGCATGCCATATGTGTATGTTTACATATTAAACGCGTTGTTTTACGATACTCCAAGTCGCTCAAATCACAAAAACTCTTATGTGATTCTAATATTTTAATATACTTGTGTAAGTTAACTATTTCATATGTAAAAATTAGTTAAATAAAATTAGATTTATTTTTGTTATAAATTATAAACACTTTTTTTTATTAATTTGAAAAAATATGCTGGAAAATTGTGTGGTTATTAAGGTAAAGCTTGAATATTTTGACACTATTGATTAAAATAAACATTTCAATAATTTACCATTATAAAATTTTAAATCTTCGGCATAGTCAAGAACTTTCTTATGGAAAACTTATTTGCTTATTATAATTAAATGCTGTAAAAGGAAGCGTTGATAAAGAAAAATGCTTCCTAAATTCAAAATGTTATTCAAAATTTTCAATACGAGACAAAAATGTGTTAGTGTTTTAGAATTTTTTTATATATAGAAATTATAATATTTAAAAACATTACTATAATTTGTTAATAAAATATTAAAATATTCAAATTTTACCACTTACCTCAATAACCATTTCATAATTCATTTTAGTTTCTTTAACAACGTCTACGATTTTATTTAACTCTTTTATAAATCTTTTATTCTGAAATTAAAGAAAAGACATCTCCGTTTTATTTTTTAATTGAATATTTTAATAATTGGCTATTTTAACACAAACTGAATAACATATTTTCAATTTTAATACCATTATTACAATTATATAATATATTGGAAAGACTGTTATACTCATTTGTATACTTAACATATAATATAAATACATACTTATGTATATTTAATTGTTTTATATAAAAAAAAATAATATAAATGTTAATAAAATACCTCATCAATTAGTGATATCACTCGATGTTGATGTTGGCTATGATTAATTGGTATACAATCTTTACATGTAATTTTCTGACAAGCTTTACAAAAATGTTCACAAATTGTTTTATGTTTTTCACACACTTGTGGATTCTTTTTTTCAGTTGGTATCATTTTCGTTTTGATTTTAACTAAGTTATGTTTCTTTAAAACTCTAGCTGTTTTATGAATATTCTCATAGCATTCTAAACAATATGGTACATTACATTGAACACAATAGTATTGTGTATTAGCAATTGTGCATTCATTGCATTCGTAATTTTTACTTTCATCAAACATAGGTATCATATCAATATTCGCATTAGAACAATCAGCTTGTGGTTCAATATATTGCATATCATATGGCAATATATGTTGCGTGTATCCTATTACACCACGCAAAAAATGACTTGGTTCGATTTCTTCACGAAACATTTGCTTTGATTTAATTTCGGTTTTACTATAACATAATTTGCATGTTAATATGGATCTTGTTTTTAATGAACTGATAACACATTTCTCACAAACATCATGAAAACATTTCAGGATAAATGGGCGATGGTTTTCTAAAATAAAAGCATTAAATATTTAGGTAAAATTCAATAATTTGATAATTAAACTATTCTAATAATCAAATAAAAGGTATTTTTGAAAATACATTTCTGAAGGTTGCAAATGCAAATCTTTTAAAGCTTCATAATAAATTAAGTTTCGAGCTTTTAAAGATTTACAATTTTATTCTTAAGAAATTTAATTTCAAATTAATTAATACCCAATTTAAAAAAAAGGCATTTACATTTACATTTTATGTAAATATTGGTAGGTCTGTAGTACCCCACACAATTTTTAATATTCGAAATCTTATCTTCGAAACAATATTGAATATTGTTATAAAACATATATAATAATATATAGTTAAGAGTTAGGTAAGTAATTAATACATAGGTACATTTTTAATATTATATTTATGCCTTTGTAGGAAAGAATCATTAAGGATCACTACTTCCAAAAAGTGCTTTTGCTGATTTAAAATAGTTAAGCTCAACAATATATCGTTAAATTTAAAATACGTATGTATGTATGTATATAGCTATAAAAATACTAACAGTAACAGGGTAGAATGCGAGTATGCGCTAAAAATCTAAAAGAATCCTACCAATATTTCAAAAATTTTGTATATCTGCAATGTATTTACGTAAATATTTACTAATTACAAAAATTAACTCTTATATTGAAAATTGACAAAACACAACCAAATAATACAATATAAATTTGAATTTAAAAAGGTAGGTGGATAATAAACAACAGCTGCTTAAAATTTGTGTATCTGTATGACATGTGCCGTTGTATGTCGTAAATTAGTCATATTATTAATCGTTCTTATTAGAATTGATTGTGAAATCCTAATAGTTAATAAAATTTTAAATAAAATATTTACAAAAATATATAAAAAATTCCAAAACCAGTTCATGGCGTTGCTAAACCAAAGGTATCTAAATTCTTTTTTAATAACTTAGGAAATGATTATCATTTTGCTGCGCAATTCAAATTTTATTTTTGCTTTATTGTAAACGTACCCTTAAGCTCCTTGAATTAATATTTTGTATTTACGTACATACATATGTATGTATGTAGCTACCCATTAAGAAATCATATGTTCAAACTAAACAAACAACAAAAACCAACAGAATACCGGTAAATGAAATCTTAATTATGTTTTGTAAATTTCATGATTACTTTTACATTGATTTTTATTTTAATAAAATTGAAATCGATTTCAAAAACAATATGTATCAAATTGTTGATAAATATTTTAGAATAAAAAAATACTTACGGTTCAAAGCAAGCTTATTCTTTTCGCAAACCGCACAACGAAACGGCGGTTTCCAAGAGGAAACCAAATTGAAATTACGAAAATTATCCACTGACATAATAAAAAATCTCTTGATTAAAATCACTTTATCTTTTATTAAATAATTATATTGTCCTTTACTAATCTGTTTTAAAACATTTCTTTAGAAATCCAAAAATAAATTCACTTTCAATTCTAAAAAGATGTAGTTCAAATTCCAAAAGTAAGAAGACATTCACGTCATTTGTAAAAGTCAAAATGAAATATTTAAAATGAAACATGACAGCAGCTGTGTTTATTTGAGAGCTGCCATTTATAAGGAAAAAATGATAAGGTAGTTTAAGCATATTTAATAATAAGATTTCATATGTGGCAATATAAAAATATTTGACTTGTAAAATTATGATTGGAATTTTAAAAAATTTTTGCATTAATTTTTATGGCTTTTTTAAAGTGAAATCATTTGGAATGGTTAATTTGTTTTATGAAATGAAATAAAGTAAGGAAAGGTAAAATTACATGCGTAGGAATTATTATTAAAATTATAAGCTTTTTTAAAAACAAGATTTTGATATTTTTAAATAATTGAACGCAGAAATGTTTGTTTACAAAGGAAAAATTTCTAATTGTTATTAAATTCAAATGCCATAGTAGCCGCTCTCTCCTCAGTTCTCATTAAGTTTATTTTCTCAAATTTTTACCAAGCACCTATTGCTGTATGGAAGTTAAGATGCTGATTATATCCAAAGAAAATTAAGGAAGCTAAAAATATTATTGTCGAATAGTAAAAAATTCACATTTACGATATTTTAATATCTGTGAAACTCATAAAAGACAAGAAGCAGCAAACCATTGTTACTGAAAAGTTTTCGAGTTGTAAATTTTTGATAGTTTGAAGTTCTATTTTTATAAATTACATACATACATATGTACATATGTCTGTATATAAAATATATAAAATGTACATATGTACGTGCATTCACATTAAATTTGTTACATTTTTTACAGTTTTTTTTTTTAATATTTTGGCAACGTTAGCACGCTCTTAAGTCAATCCCTGTTTATTCAAAAAATTTTCCTTGTTTAAGTTGAAAATAGAATAAGTGCGTACATGAATGAGAAGAGCTTAACTATTGCTATTGTCGATGTAAAGAGTTAAAATTCAGGTAATCTATCTATTAATACGCTTAAATTTTAAATTAATGTTTGTTATAATGAAGATAAAATGTTTAATTATACAATCACGTGTTTCTATTGCTAAGAAAACATACAATAACAAAATGATAAGTGTAGCGCCACATTGTATGACATGACCATCATTTTAATTGAAGATTAGGAATAATAATTGGTCAATAGTTGTTAAAAGTACCACTTTATTTTATTAACTATGTAGATTTAATTTGAGGTTTTTTCTTATTAGAACATAATTTCACAATCAAAATCCCACAAAAAATTGCTGAAACAGCCTCCCAAACCATAATTTTGACTATAGTATGCTCCAAGAATCATTCCAAATAAATATGTCAAATAGATAATTAAAATTAAAATGATAATTAATGATAAGAAATAGCATTTCGTTTTCATACATTTCCTAAAAGAAAAATTGATCATAAAATATTTTTAAATTTGTATACTTACATAATATTTATTTATGATGTATGTATGTACATATTAGCATACACACATTTTGTATTTTGCTATACGACTTTGATGACTGCAAGGACATTTTAAGTTACGCATAACCATCTTTTTCAAATTGCGTGTCAATTTCTTACGTGAAGTGTTACATCGATTTTCGAATTTTTGTAATTCAGAATTTTGGCAATAGTTTGAAGAGCGCATTTGTTTTTAAAATAAATATCCATATGCAAATTACAAAAGTAATATTTTGACAAGAAATTAAAAAAAGAAAACAAATTCAAATATGTGTAGTAGATCGAAAATTTTTTTTTTATTTAATTTTTCTAAATACCTACATACATTACGTACATTTGTGTCTATTTATGGAATATATTATTATATTTTCCTATATAGTATATTGTTATAATTGGAGTGAGCTGTGTAGTAGCAATATTATAGTTATGTAAGAAATTCAATTCAGTATTCACAATACGTCTGGTGTTGTTTTGCTAAACGTCAACACTTTTACGATATTTTTCTTGATTTTACAAAATAATGTTATTTTTTTTTTAAACTTTTTTTCGTATGGAAATTCGTATTGGTGGTTATTCAAATTACCTTTGCATTAATACTATTTTTGAATTAATTATATTTTTTATCATAATTATATTTGTTACCCTCAATCACGAAATTTAAAAATTAAAAATGCGTCTAATTCTAAATTGGCTCATATATGTGGCAGTTTTACATTTTAATTACTTTAGTAGATCGTTAAATCTGCATTTTATAGATGTCCATAATGTAACTAGGCCTCTATACAAAATATATATGTACATATAATGTATATTGTATAAAAATTTTGTTGCTAAATGCCACTGGAATTTGTTATCCACTCTTTTACTGAAATTTAGAATATTTACCCCGTAACTACTTCGATTAAAGCAGATATTCATTAAACACGTATAAACTTTCAAAATTATCAATGGTTTAATTAACAAAAATTATTTAAATTAAATAAATGTATAAGTTATTAAATATTTACTCAAAATTTCTTCGCGACTTCTAAAAACACATGTAACACATAATATATTATAAAATGTAATTATGTACGTGTTTTTCCTTAAGAAAAGAGTTCACAGTAAAATAAACAAATTAAACCCATTTAAGTTATTGTGCGCGTAAAGCATGTTTTAATTAAATCAACACACTATAATAATGAGCATTATTATGTTAATTTAAATCCTACGTACTTTAAGCCTATATATAAGTTCTAAAATTCGCACCAACATTATTAGTTTCATTTGAAAATCTAAAAAAATAACACTTGTTATAAAAGTTATATTATAAAATCTAGAATTAAAATGAAATATTTTGGATTAATAGCATTGTTTGCCTTGGTAATACAAAATAATAATATTTTATAACTGTTATTTTATAACGAAAAAATTTATAATTGCAGATAAGTGTTTCACTGGCTGTGCCCTCTGCATATCACGACAATTTTCAAATAATTATTAATAATTGCTGTAATGATAGTGACGAATTTTTCGCTTCACCGTCATCTCCACCACCTGACTATGAAATACCGCCTGCAAGTAAATAATATTACAGCTATGTACTGTATACTGCGTTATGTATACACTGTAAATAAGGAATACACGTTCAGATAATTTGACTTGTTGATAGTTTACAATAAGCTTAGATTTAAGAGCTTTAGTTAAGAGAGTTTTAAGTAAAATAATACACAAAAATTTAATAAAATAAAGACTTAAATTATTTTGAGAATAATTACATAAAAGTTATTTCATTCCGTCCAACTATACCTAAATTAAAATCAGAATGAAAATGAGATTCAGCAGTTATACATATTTTGAAACTTTGCATACATCACTAGTTTCTAACTATTTTGTTCAATCGACATTAGAGAATATGCAACTACTTCTAGAACGGTCCAAGGATTCAAGACGCTTTAGAATTAGATGGCGGATCAGTTCAAAATTAACCTGATTTGGGTTCTGGGGCACAGCGGAATCCAAGGAAACTGTATGACAGATGATCTCGCGGGGCAAGGGATGCCTCTTCTAACTGAAAAGGAGGACCTTGGGATGAGTACGTAGAGGGTGGTGGTATACGCAACGTGCCAGTTGAGCATGCCAATCAAAGATGAGAAGGCGGCACGAAAAAGGCGGGGAGATCTTGTCTCATTTTTCTTTTTACTGACTACCGATCTGGCGAATGTAAATGCCAGTGGCTTTAGCCTGTTTCTGAAAAGCTCAGACTGGTTCTCGTGAGGGCAGAGAATAATTTTGTGAATCCGACGGTATCACAATGGGTCTTACTGGCCTTTGGGCACCTTACGGTAGCCGCGTCAACCTAACCTAACCTTGAGTATGTTGTTACGTTGACGCGGCATTATAAGTTGTACATTAACAAATAATTAACATTATAAGTTGTACATGACGGAATTACAGTTAAGAAACTCATTGCTTAATATCTATATTAAGAGAATAATTTAAAAACTTATAAAAGTAAGGCTTGCTCTCAAATCATCCAACCTTACGTGTTTTTATAGGAATATTATGATTGCCTTTATGATGGTAACGTTAAAATAATTCCCGGTTTTGTTAAAATCAAAATGCTTCCTGAGTTTTACATGAACAATCCCGAAAATTCAGAACAGACACTACAACGAATTAAAACTACCAATTGCACTATGTTAAATATTTTAATTGTTTTCAACGCTTAATGAAGATGTCAATACATCAATAACAATGATACTGCAACGCGTTATTTTACATACCATTTTCGATACTGCAATGCGTTTCTACAATTTTAAAATACCGAAGTCGCCATACGGATGTTTGCATAAGTGCTTCTAGCATGATGTAGATTTAGTTGTAGTTATATAGCCTTGCTTATTTAATATGGTAAGTTAATGGTAAAGCAGTTTTTGTGACAATAAATAAACAACGCGCCCAAAAGCTGAAAAGTTTTTGAATTCCGTAACTTTTTGTTGCTCTTTCATAGCCTTCATGGCTATCAAAAAGTGAAAAGTGATAATTTTTGATATTACACATCTAACTTAGATTTCAACATAAAGCACATTTGATAAATTCAAACTGTAAAATCTGCAAGAACAGCATGTTCGAAAATGACAGTCGTACATTAAGTTCTAAAGGAATTTTGAAGTTATTTTAAAATTACTGCATAAATATTATACATTAGAAGAAGAGCTTATTATATATTAGAAATTTGCAAAAGTAAAATATTCAATTTCTGCAGATTTGTAAGTATGTGTGAAAAGACTCTTAAGATTTAATTTAGAAATTGCAGTGTATGTTTGAATTATCAAAAATCCTCAGTGTCAAACTAATATAATTGTTTAAATCAAGAATAAAATCGAAATTTATCGTTCGCCTTCCTTACAGTAAAATTTTAAATATGTAAAAATTTACGATCCGGTCTTTTGGAGCGTACAAGAAGAAGCCGAGAAATTCTTTACTCTTAAGAATTTTGAATATGGTTTATTATGCTCTATG